CCCATACACAAACTGAAGGGTGCTTCACCTTCTTCATTCTATTTTCTAAAAACTTCAAAAATAATCCTTATCTGGTAAGTTTGTGTGGAAGTTAAGATTGGAAATATTGTATGTGATGAATAGTTTATTGTGTATATAAACACACGTTACTGTTCTGGAAAGTATACAGTTCTAATGGAAAAGGTGAGGTTGTCATATAATTTCTTTGATTTGTTTTTTTAGTCAGGAATAATAACACCCTTTCCAGAATGTGAAGATACAAACGTGCCCCAGGGAGGCATGACAACTGCACTCAAGATTCGGGTGTCCAGACAGACAGGCTAGGTAGGTAGCAGCTCTTACAGAGCCAAGGCAGTCCCCATTTGTGGGTGCCAGGCACGCGTGTCCATGCGCATGGACATATGTGCAGGCACATACATGGGCACACATGCCGTCCAGGCCAATAGCTTCTTTTTCACATCAGTATCCTCAGCTATTTAATGCAAACAATGTGTTCTTGAAATTTGTTCTCTGTTTTAAACATCAAAGCATTTTGAGGAAGGAACCTTGTGAATGTGTGTATGTATTTACCTAAAATATTGTGGAATTCTCTTTTGCAAGTGTGTTCAAAAACAACTTACAATTTACTTAAGATAAGAAGGCACTTTTACTTTTATTCATGTCTTATATGTTGATACTGAATGATATTATCCATCTTGCGCCCTCACTTTATCATCCTTGGCTCTTAATAACTTTTGGCTATTTCGTATATGCTTCTAAAGATAAAAAAATTCCCTCCCTTACAAAATCAGCTTTTGAAGATGTTAACAGTGTGTTCCAAGGATGATGGTAATTCCAGAGAGAACTCCTCCTGCCCCAGACTGCCTCTCTTTCCTAACCAAGATCTGAAGCAATTGCAACTTTGTTAAAAAAGCTAGTCATCAAAAGCTCATCCTTTGTCCCAGGATACACCTTCAGCAATGTTTTGTTTTGCTTAGAGTCACGCCTTGAACACAGAGGAAACCTCAAAGGGGTGCAAAGTACTTAAGATCCTGGACCACATTTTTGTGAGTTGATTAAGGATCTGTATTCTTGCTCAGTTTCACATTTAGAGAAATAGGATTTCCAAAAGGACAAAGGCATATGCCTCTAACAGCAAACCAGTGACATGCCATTGTTCATTACCCGTGAGTCTGCTGCTGCTCCTCTGCTTCCATCTCCTGTCTAACCCTCAAAAACTTAATGGCAAAAGGTTGTGGTTTGGTGGGGTGCATCCTAGGTTGAAATCAGAAGGCATGTTGAGGGATCCGGGTGTTGATCAGATGAGGAAGTGCCTTTGAAAGCACTTGCACAGTACCTGGCACCAAACTGGCCCTCAGATGTTGATTTGAATCTGAAATTTAGAAGTTAAAGCTAAAAGTCAAGCCTTACTATATTTTATATACACAGTTTAATAATGGGATAAAAATACATGCTGTAAGAGGTCAGGCTTTTAATAACCCAGTATGTGAATCTCTATTCTTAATTTTTAAAAATGTAAAAAAGATGAAATAATCTAGCCTATAATGATCCTGCCAGGTCATGAGGTGTAAGCAGGTAATTTTAGAATGTTCTACAACTGTGCTTTAAGCCATAAGTTGCATTAAGTCGGAGTAGTAATTTTTCAAGTCTCCTAGGGCAGGATTAATTTTCTCAAGATAGAAATGTTTAATTCATCATGCAAAAATTTGTGTATAGCTTAGACCTCTTCTCCATGCCCCCAAATTTCTTTACACCCATCCTCCCATGCACATCCCCAGCATACGTGCAGTGCACACATGTGTGCACATTCATACATGCACACGCCCATACATACACTCCAGTAAGTGCAAGTTAAAGCTAAGAAGGTGTAATTGGTCACCTTTTGCCTTGTAACTTGGATTTTAAAAAAAACCCTCTCTCCTCTGTTTCTCTCCTTTTGAGAAAACTAGGAGAAAGATATTAGCATCCTCACATTTATTGGCCTCATGCATTCCCTTTCTTCCCGCTCCCGTAAACCTTGTCGTCTTGCCAAAGTTTTCTAATATTGGCATGTCAAATGCAGTTTACAAGCCCCTAGGGGCTGGATTCACACTGGCCTCTTAGCTTTTTACAGAACCTTACACAGCCTTGTCACTAGCTTGATGTTAAAGCACATAATGCTAGCATCCTCAGTAAGACCTTTGTGCTGAAAACCAAGGAAATGTGACCACAGTAAACATGCTGAGAATAAAATCAGGCACTGCTGTAATTGTTAGGTCATAGGCAGGAAAGCACAATTATTTCTGTACTGAACAAAAACAGATGGGGAGTAGTGGGCTGTCCCATGAGAGGGTGAGGTGCGTGAGGGCTGGGGATGCTCAGTCTGCAAGCCCATATGTGTCCATCGCCCACATGCTGCCCCCTATATGTTTTCCCCCTGCATGTTATTCTTTCTCTTTGTTTTTTTTAAAAACAGTCCTAAATTGCTTAGCATTTTTTTTCCCCTTCACACTTATTTTTCCTATGCTTGCAGGCAAGGACAGTAAATTAAGCATATCTAAGGATTTAATGCTCAGAATCACCTTGGATAATTGGCTTAAGGGCTGGAAGTAGGCTTTTCTCTCCATCCTCTACTCCTAATGCTATTTCCCCTCGGAGGGTACATCTGTCAATAATTGATGGAGCTTTCTTGGCAAATGAGCTGTTGCTGGGACATTATAAATCATATTTGGAATCAAGTTTATTTTCAAGCTGCTTTAAAAGTCTTGATGTGGTGCTAACTGAACAGAAAATGCTAAATGTTTGACGGAGTAGCGCAAGCCCTGAAGGGCTAAAGGTGTGCGCTGGACTTAGGAAAACAAATGGAGTTTATACTCTCTGAGAAAACAAGAACACACCTGTTTTTTCAAAAGAGTAAGTAGGTCTGGCAAGAACCTTCCAGAAGGAAACTGCTTGAGTACCTACTGGGTGCTGTGCACTGTGACCTGTGATTCCCTCGTGGTGCCTGAGTTAAGCCTCACAACTCACTCAGCTGGCAGGCATTACAGTCTCTCTTCTACAGATGAGGAAACCGAGGCTCAGAAAGGTTGAAAACCTTCCCAGTGCACGCGGTGGGCAAGTGGCAGACTTGAAATTGGAATCAATCGAACTGTGATGTCCCGTCTCTTCTCGCTCCACCGGAAGTCAGACAGGCTCTGTGACAGGGTCTTCAGTCAGTGACATCGCGATATTTGTTGTGTGTTTGGCGTTGAGACTGAGACCATTGGCCCCATCGCCGAACCTCACAGCTCTCTTGGCTCTGCTCCAACCAATGCAGTTCCACTTTTATCTGTTTTATACAGAGAGCTTTGGCATGAAATTTTGATAAAAAGATTCTGCTGCTAAATGTTTGAAGACCACAGCTGCACGAGAAAAGTGAAAGTCTTTCTTATGAAATACAGATATTAGTGTGTGTAAGAATATGTCTGATATGTAAAAAATTGGGAACTATTTTACTCCTTTCTCCGCTTCAAAGGACACACCCAAAGAACATTCTCAACTGGCCCTACTCTAAGTGACCTGCAGGGAGTGGGCTGACTGCAGCCTCAGAGTCCCCAGGTTTTCAGTTTTGCTCAGACAGGAATCCACTATGTGCTGTTATTTTCCTTTCCTCAGTTTTCACATCTGATACTACTTGCTCTACCAACCTCAGAATCATATAGTGACGATCAGAGGAGACCAAAGATAAGTACTTTGAAAAAGAAAGAACATGGCTAAGATATAAGGCATTGTTACTACTACATTTTTTTAAAGTAATTGAGATGAATATTTTAGTTAAGCTTTCAAAGGCAAACAGGAGAGTTGAGGGTATTTTAGAATGGGACAGATGGGGACCATAGGAAGTATAAAATCATTTTAAAAATCTCATTCAGAACAATTATTTTAGAGATAATGGTTTATTACATTCATAATATCTGCCCTTGAGTTTTAGTTATTCACAATATTGGCTGCTGCTAATATTTGAACTTTCTAGTGAAAAGGTACCGGATGAATCACTCTGCCTTTTTTCTCTTTCCTAGTGGTCAGGGCATGTGTACACTAGATTTGGAAAGATGAAATGGCTCATTTGAGACCAGAATGGCCATCTGACTCAAGCTGATCATGATATAAAGGAGTTGCTTCTTGAATGTCTCTTTGTTGATCATTATTTCTTCTTTGTCTTCCCTTCCTCCTAGTCTTATTCCCTCCTTTCCAGTATTTATTAGACACCACCTATATGCAATATGAATAGAATATAGTCTCTGCTCAAAAGATGCTCAGTCCAGCACCTCAATCAATACACACCTGACCGTGATCAGTGTACATGGGTCTGCCTTCCCCTTAGGTGACGCTACTGCAAACACCACGGAAGCCCAGAGCACAAGATGCCCTATGTGCCTGGGGAGGTTGGTCAAGGTTTCTTGGGACGTGTTTGGCTACTCACAGAAACCCCACTCTTTTTCACTCCTTTGTTTCTAATTTCTCCATTTCAACGCACATGAAACCTACTTACTCTCTTGGGCCTTGTCAGTCCACAAGGACACTCCTCTGCTGAAATCCTGAGAACTTTATTTCATGCTCCCTTGGTTATCCTGGATACATCTGTTGTTTGGTCTCACAGAGACCTCAGATCTGTAGACACTTATCTCCCCGAGTCTTCTTCCCTTTGTTCCTCCGTCCTTCTCCTGCTCTCCTCCATCTCCCCTCCCTCCGTTGGAGAAATTAGGGACAAGAAAGTTAGATTGGTTATTCTCCCTGGGGAGAATGGGTGGAGATAGTTGAGAAGAAAACCAAATTGATAACAGGTAGTTTAATATTTCAGTCTTTTTTTTCACTCTTCACTGAATCTTCTTTAGATTTTCTGTAACATCCTCAAATTTGATTTTCAATTATGTTGGCCCAGAGAAGAAACAAATTGCTTCTAAGCAGTACTTATGGGGGAAGCGCTTCTTCTTAGAGACAAGATTGCAATTGATAGTGCTAGTCTGGGTTGTGCAATTCATGTCACTGGGTACAACCAGACCTGTTTCTTAGGGAGTCTGTGTTTTGGAGGCATTCTGTGTCTCTGCCATTTTAGGACAGTAGCTCCAACAAGCACTTCATTTTTTTGCAGCAGAGGCCAGATCTACAGCACACTTCAGTATAAGGGTTTGTTTGCTATGAATTGAAATGAGAATTCAATTACAGAGAGAGAGTGACATGCAAGTTGCAGGAACCTGCTCTCTCCTGCCACGTACCTAATCGTGTCCACTTTTTCCTGCAGGGCGGTTTTTCTTCCTTGAATCCAGGTGGCGGGCCCCTGCTGTCACGGCAGGTCTGGGTCAGGAGGAACAAGTCCTCAGGTCTCCAAGCGGACTGCTGGCATTCTGTAGAGGTATACAAAGCACACAGCCTTGGGGGCCGTTCTGCCCTGTTTCAAATCCCAGTTCTATCACTTAATGCCTTTTGAGCTTGGACAAGTAACTAATCTCTATAAATCTCTTTTTAATTTATAAAATGGACAAATAATGATCTTTGTCCCAGGGTCACTGTGAAGTTAAATGAAATCATGCTAGCTCTAGGTAACCCACGGTAATGATAATATCTGACGTTTGTTGTAGGTATCAAAGTTCCTACAGAAATCAACCATGGCAGGACTCTAAATGAAGGTAAGCCTTTCCCGATTCACCTGCAGTTAGGCGTTCGTCCAGGTAAATTTATATAACTCCTTTATGTGTTTGCTTTTTCTTGGAATATTACTAGATAATCATACTAGCTGACATCGAGTCAGGCACTGAGATGACTGTTTCAACTTTCGTAGCTCATTTACTCCTGCTCAGAATTCTGCAAGGTGGCTCACAGTATCCCCACAGCAAAGAGGAGGCTAGTAAGGCTCAAAAACGTTAGGTCATCTGTCTGAAGGTTCACACTTCGGTCTGTCTGCCATGCAAGCCCATATTCACCTGCCACACCATGGTCTTTGATCAGCCACTTATTATCACCAGGCAGCTTGTCTTGTCTGAAATCACCTGCCACTTCCACACTAGACTGGGAGATGCCCCTTTTCTATCCTCTTGGGCACTCACTCAAAATTCTGGCTTTTCTTCTGTTCACTCCTGTGTCTTCTGCATATTCAGGGACCCATATCCTTGGGACTGTTTTGCCCATAGGACGTGTCCTTTGCTGGTCTAAACCTATTCTTTCTCTAAGGTTAGGCTCAGAACTAAGACATATATTCTCTAAGAAAGAGCTCCCTGGTGGTTAAGATGCAATATTCTAGCTAGTGCCACGCTGGTCTCCCCTTTTATGAATTCTTATTTGTGCATTATAAACAGTATGACATTATATAGCACTTAGTCATTTTTTTTTAAACTGAAATAGTAATCGTCATCGTCACACTTACTGAACACTTACTTGGTTCTAAATTCTTTTTTTTTTTGGTTTTATTTTTTATTGAAGTGTAGTTGATTTACAGTGTTAGTTTCAGATGTACAGCAAAGTTATTCAGTTATACATATATATATATATATACACATGTATATATACACACACACACACATATTTATTTTCACATTCTTTTCCATTATATGGTATTGCAAGAAACTGAATATAGTTCCCTGTGCTATACAGTAGGTCCTTGTTGTTTATTTTTTATGTAGTAGTGTGTATATATTAATCGCAAACTCCTAATTTATCCCTCCTCTCCTTCCCCTTTTGTAACCATAGTTTATTTTATATGTCTGTGGGTCTATTTCTTGTTTGTGAATAAAATTTGTATATTTTTTTTATAGAGGCCACATATAAGTGATATCATATGATTTTTGTCTTTCTCTGTCTGACTTTCTTCACTTAATATGATAATCTCTGTGTCCATCCATGTTGCTGCAAATGGCATTATTTCATTCTTCTTTATGGCTGAGTAACAGTCCATCTCATATATATATTGGTTATAAATTCTTTATAAGCATTATTGCACTTTATCTCCTGAGGACCCTACTAGTTAGGTTCATCTATTATAGTCTTCATTTTACAGGGGAAGAAGTTGGGATTTAGAGGTTAAGTGACATGTTTAAAACTACAAAGATGATGGCCCCAGGATTCAAGTATTCTCACTCTGTAGCCCAATCTCTTATTCACTATATTTGCCATCTACTTTAGTTCTGTGTTCCCAAATGCAATGTGAGGTGGTCCCTAGAGTTAATCCCAAGGTACCCAGCACTTAATGAAGGGATTTTCACTGATTGGTTTGTCAGTGGATGTTTTGAGCACCTATATTGTGCTTGGCATTGAGGGTGACCCAAAGGCCAACTCTAACCCTCACCTGACTATCTTAACAGGAGCATATCAAACCACTCAGTTCGCAGGAAGTGCTTTGAAGTCCCTCTGGCCTGTAGAATGAGGGACCAGGATATAATGACTTGTAATCAGAGACAGGGAACAAATCAATGTATGGGTGTGCAATACCCTGACTTCATGGTGTTAAGTTTCTACTACTCCATTCTGGCCGTCAGTTGGATCCATTGATCACATTTACCTCCACACCTTTTAGGAGAAAACTTTTCAGTTTCTTCCTTGTGCAATGAGGAATGCATGCAGCTGTTTTCTTAAAAAGCTAAAGTTGTGCATGAATGAGGAGATCATTGACAAGGAGAATAAAGAGACAATGGAAATTGCAGTCAAGGTAACGGGGTTTTCCACATGTAAAATCAACACAACCACAGCAGTCGCTCTAGTGTTTATGTCGCGGGCTCAGCTCCAGACACCTTTCATGTGTTTAGCTTACGTAATCCTCACAACAATCCTTCAGGATAGGAATAGTTTTTTTCAGATTATTACAGATTTATAAAAAGTCTCAGAGAGATTATAAAGAATGTGTCCAAGTGCCCTCGAGGCCAAGAGTCATCACTTTGTTGGCCTGATACCAGTGGCCAAGTTCTAACCATTCTCCTCTACTGTCTCTGGGAGGCTGGCGAAGATGGTGGGTAACTTCTCCTTATGGGTCTTGATGGGGAGGGGACAGGAAGAGATGGGACCTACTTGACATTCATTTGTACTCCAAGTACCATGAAGCCACTGTATGTATCTGAAACACCTTAAGCATGATTTCTTCATTTTACTGGACTTCAGAGGGTAAGTGATTTTCTTAATGCCGCTCTGTTGGCAAGTGTGGAACTCAGCTTTGGATCAGCCTGTGTTCTTTCTGCCACCTTGGGCGGTTTAAATAAGAGACTCTTCTTGTTCCATAAGATGTCTGTGATCCACGGTGACAAGTGAATTCTACAAATGCTGGTTTCCTTTTGCTACAGCTTATGTCTTGGAACCCCATTTTGATAGGCTTAATTAAAAAAGAATATTTGCTGCAAAAAAAAGGACAATGAAAATTTGACTGAAAATGTCAAACATAAGGTCACTCACTACATGAAGGTTGAAAGGTGATGCTTTTCAGTGTTTTGTGTCCTGTCCTATATGGCAAAGTGAGAAAGCCACTCTCTCCTCCTGAGATTTACTTTCTACAATGGAAGAGCTGAATGAGATGGTCTCAATGTTCTTTACAACCGTAGAATTCTGTGATGTTTTTAAAGCCAAACTGCTTAGAGTTTGAGCTCTGGAAAGGCCCTTGAGAAGATCTGTTCCATCTCTTAATCCCTCCACACCTTTGCACACCAAACACAGGCCCTCACATTTCTTGAATTTTTACCACAGTCTCTTAGTTTGTCTTTAGATTTCCAGTCTTGCCCCAGCACCCAAAACAAGTATCCTATATGAAACATTCTTGTACTAGTACAAGGCTAAATAACCCACTGAAAAAAATGTTGAACTGTTGTAAAATGACTTACTCGGATAATGACCTCTCATGGGGAGATAGAGAACTATCACGGGTCTGGGTCACCAGCTTTCACCTTAAACATTTTAGTAATTATATGTCTATATCTAAATCACAGATATGATCATGTCACTTTCCTGCTTAAAATCCTTCAAAGGCTGGGTCCATGGGATCACATCAAAGTTCTTTTCTCCCTCCCCTCTTTGTCTTGCCCTTCGTGCCCAGCGCTCCTTGGACACACCATGCTGTTTCTCACCTCTGTGCCTGTGCCCTCTGCCTAGTGTGCCTGGACACCTGGCTAGTTGCTCTTCATCCACTGTGCCTCTACTCTAGGGCCACCTCCGTCAGCCACTTTCCTCGGGCTAGATGGGTACCCCGCCTTGTTCTCCAGGCAGTACTGTTGCCTCTGTTTACATTGCAGTGTCCTATTTTATCTGTTTCTGCCTCCAAATGGGAACCTGTTACCAGAACAAGGTCTGTGTCTTTCTCATCTTTGTATTCTCAGTACCTTGCATGGTCTCTGGCACACAGTAGATACTTAATAAATGTTTGCTGAATGAGAGGACAAGTTGATGACCCCCTTAACGATAAAGAAATATCAGCTTCTAATTGCTGAGACCTTCTTTTTTATAGTCACCTGAAGTTTCTTTCTCTCTTGGCCCAAATTTTGACCCTTGGAATTATTCAGAACAATTCCCTTTCTTCTTCCATCACAGTAGAACCTTACAAGTATTTAAATTCAGTTAAATCTTCTGCTCACTGGGCTAAATCTCCTCAGTTCTTCCACCTAAGCTAAATATGATGAATTTTCCTGCCTGTCTTCCTGGGCCTAGACTGCACGTTCCCTCACCATCCTGCCTTGCCTCCCTTGCTTGTGTTCCAGCTGTCCCTCTTAGCCTGAGAAGCCCAGATCAGAACTTAAGGTTCTGAGAATTATTCCAAGTGGCAACTGGTCCCAGAGGAACAATCCCCTCTTCTGCCTTGTCTACTGAAATTAAAAGTTCCTGAGAAGTTGCATAAGGCAATAACTGACTTTATTAATATAAGACATATAATAAAATATACATGTAAAATACATGTATTACTATATAAAATATAAAATATACTACAATTTTTTCAGTGTAATAAAAATATAGCAAAAATACCCCAAAGCTCCTGGTGCTTTATCTCATGAATCTCTGGCAATAACACTGGAGGGGGTAGGTCCTATGGTAGTTACCCACCCTTGACAGACGAGGCAACTCAAGAGTGGAGACAGGTTCATATAACTTGTTGAAAGGCATAATAAGAAAGTGAAAGGTGGAGATGCAGTTGGATCACAGACTGATTTTAGACTTGTTTAGAGCAAGTCCCATGTTCCAAAGCACCGGCTATATACTGATGCCCCACGGGCTGTCTGTGACCTTCCTGAGACTAAGTGCAAGATGTGCTTGTTTCTAAGGTGAAGGTATTTAATTATCATGCTCCCAAAGGAGTCCTCAACCCCAAAGAAGTTAAGAATCATTGTATTAAAGGTAGACTGACATTGAATTTGTAGCCAATTCGAACACCAAATTCATTTTTGTATACTGTATACCACCCTTACACATCATCCCTTAACTAGTGTAAAGCGATTTCCTGGGTCTCCCTTTAGCGTGGTATACTTATCTCTGCTGAATTTCCTCTTAGTCCCATCTGTTGCAAGGCCATTTCTTTTCATTATCGCACTTGTGTCATCATATTTGCTATTTTGAAAAATAATCTGATGAGCTTTCTGTCTTGATCTTTATCTAAATCACTTCTGAAAATGAGGGCTGACCCAGGGGAGGGTAATGGCTCTGAAAATGGTTTGCCAAGCCTGTGCCTCCTTTGCATTTATTTTCCTCTTCAGGTTGCTCCTCGGGAATGAAAAAGTGTTAATGTCTAGATAATATGTTGTTCTCAACCAGTGGCAGCCTTGCTACGTCTCTGATTGTAGATTGCCGAGAGGCCACTGGCCATGCTTTGTACATCAGGCTTTGTCTCACATCGTGGCATTAGGCTCAGCATTCTTTAGTATCTGAGCATTCCACAGGCCCTTCCATCAAAAGCCTTCTAGTTAATCAGGAGTCGTTTTCTTCTTGTAACTCTTCTGAAACATATCCCGTCTCCCTGTTACTCCCCTAGTCACTCCTGAGAAACCAGGTTCCTGTCTAGTATCAGGTCACAGAAATGACATTAGCCCCAGTATTTTTCCCCCCAAGGTTGTAGGTTGTTTTAAAGGAAAACCCAGCTCTGATATTAAGTGTGGGGCAGATTCAGATCTTCCTGTTTATTTACCAATGAATTTGCAGTGCTGGCTGCATCTAGAGACAGTAAAAGATCCCTTCAAGATTATACATATTTTCAATTCTGGAAAAAAAATTATCACTGGCTTTAGAGTTTTCTGCAAGTTTTAAACTGATTTCTTATCTCCTTTGTGACTGATAATAATCTGCATCTTTTCTTTCTTTCTTTTTTTTTAGTGGAGGTACTGGGGATTGAACCTAGCATGCGCATTACCACTGAGCTATATCCCTCCCCTCAATGATTGACATCTTTGCACTATTTTTAATCTTTTAGGTCGCCTATACTTTGTCATCTCTGATTTTTTTCCTTGTTAATAAGTGTTATTTGATTCCATAGTCATGATTTTTGGCTTTTTTCTTACCTTGTTTTTCAAAGCGATCTTCTCTCATCAAAGGCTGATTGAATCTGTTTCCCCCATTGAATCTCCCCCCTCCCACACCTTCTCTAACAGCATTTTGAACCCACTCCCCAATGCAGTTTCATGTGAATCATGTTATGTTTTTGTCATTACTTAGAAAACATTTGTGTTAGCTTCTGATTCCCTTTCACATGTAACAGCCTTCAGCACCAACCTCAACTTCACAAGCCAGGAAGTGTGTAGCACCTCGATGGCAACCACCAATTTGCTCATCATTTTCCGAATTGGATGACACTTGGCTCTTTGGCCTTTATGCTAGAGTATTATAGGGAAGATGTTTTAAATGTTACTACCTCAAAACTAATTTTTCAAAAGTTTTAGTTATACAGTAGGATAAAGAACGAGACTTGGTCTGAGTCTCAGCTGGACCATGCACTGGTTTTGTTACACAGGGCACCTCACTTTACCCCTCAGTGTCCCCCCCATTTCAAATGGGGTAGTGATGCCCACCTTGTACTGCACAGGGACTGTTGTCAGGAAAGATGGAGATGAACAGTGTGAGATACTGTAGTATAGAAGGTACTATGTAGGCAGGCAAAGTAGTGCTAGGAATTACTGGATGTACTCTGGTCATTCTCAGTTATGCTGAATACATCTTTTAATTCCTGTGATGAAATTATTTTGAATTCCTTTTTCTGCTCATAGGTCCCAGTGCCATATCCAATTTCCTTTTCTCAGTCTCTCTCCCTGAGGACTTAGGAGCTGGTCCCTACTCATTTGGCATTTTGCTAGTAATCAAGCCCATTTTGCTAGAAACCAGTCAGTCCTGCCCAGGCATTTTCAGGGGACAGAATCCTAGATGTGGTAAATAGCATGACTTGGATTCTTCCTGTCTCCTTACATCTATTCTTTGCCCTGACTCCAGGTTTAGTCTTGGGACTTGTTTTGGCCTGTGAGATGTTAGCAGATGTGAGGGAAGCAGAGCCTTGAGAACTACGTTAATGGTGGGGCTCACTGTCTCATTCTTGGGTCTTTGTTAATGTCATGTGAATATGCCCAGGTTAGACTTCTGTCGTAGGATGAGGAAGAGAGAAATGTGGACTAGAGTGGAATGTTCAGTCACCAGCTGAGGCCAACTTATGTCACCCAGCAACCAGCTGACCCCAGATAGTAAACAACCCCTTCCAAGATCAGTAGAGCCACGGAACTGATGCTTCAATGGCCCCCAAGAATGTGAGCACAAACATTTATTGTTGTATGGCCCTGAAGTTTTGTGGTGGTTTGTTAAACATTTTAATTGTAGCAATAGAAAATGGATACAGTAGATGTCATAACCATCTGACTTTAAACCCTGGCTTGAAGAACACTGGTCTCAGAAAAAGGAACCCTCCTACACCATTGGTGGGAATGTAACTTGGTGCAGCCACTATGGAAAATAGTATGGAGATTCCTTAAAATACTAAAAACAGATTTACCGTATGATCCAGCAATCCCACTTCTATGCATATACCTGGAGAAAACTCTAATGTGAAAAGATATATGCACCACATTGTTCATACATAGCAGCACTATTTACAGTAGTCAAGACATGAAAGCAACCTAAATATCCATTGACAGATGGCTAGATGAAGAAGTGGTATATATATATGGTACATACATATATATGTACAACTGTGTATATATATATAGTATATATACATATGCATATATATAAAAGTATAAGTTATATGCGTGTATATATATATAATAGAATACTACTCAGCCATAAAAAAGAATAAAATAATACCATTTGCCGCTACATGGATGGGCCTTGAGATGATCACACTAAGTGAAGTAAGTTAGACAGAGAAAGACAAATATATGATATCACTTATATGTAGAATCTTAAAAAATGATACAAATGAACTTATTTATGAAATAAAAATAGACTCACAGACATGGAAAACAAACTTAGGGCTACCAAAGGGAAAGAGTCAGGGAGGGATAAATTAGGAGTTTGGGATTAGCAGATACGCATTACTATATATATATAATAGATAATCAACAAGGTCCTACTGTATAGGAAACTGCATTCAATATCTTGTGATAACCTATAATGAAAAAGAATACATATTTACATATATATAATTGAATCACTATGTTGTATACTATAAACTAACACAACATTGTAAATTGACTAAAGTTTAATTTAAAAAAGAAAAATATAGAAAATTAGTCTCAGAGCTTATGATCCTGGAGAGTACCATGAAGGTTCAAAAATAATAGATGTCTACGGAAGTAATGACTAAAATGCCATTAAATATATTTTTAAATGCACAGATTCTTCATCATGAAAAGCCTCCTCTGGTGGGTAACCCATCTCTTAAATCACCTTCAGTAGTTAAGGCGCAATGACTGTAGCATTGTGATTTGCTGAAGCAGAGCCTCGTACAAGTATTATGCTATTCAGAATACATCACTTATGAAAGTTTTGCACGAAGCATCTTAGCCTCACATTAAATGTATTTTTTCATTGCATTTTCCCTATTTTCATTTTCAGCAACTGCCAGCAAAATGCTTGTTGACCCCTTTACAGATTATCATAGCATTGCTCTAGTTCCATTCTCTGATCTGTGTATTGGTAAGTTAAACATAATTGATTTGTCTGTCCAGCCCCTGTAGGCCCACTCAACATGGTCTACAAAAGAGGAGAGGAGTATATTGACATTGGGTGGAAAGACAATATGTGAAATATTCGTTGCTATTCACCTACCTCTACTGACTTTTAATCCCATGACCCTGCCCCATCTCATTATATCAGAAAGCAGAGGAGGCTGACATTCCACACAGAGCGGACCATCACGGAGTACATAGAACAGACAGTGGGGATTGTCAAGAGGACCAAGAAACAGATGTTAAATTCCTGGCTTTTAGAGGTAGAAGTCTCAAAATCATCTTTCCATATTTTTCCTTGATCTCTTTTTTGTCCCCACTCTCACTAAATAAAGATGCTCCCAACTGACGAGAGGAAGAAGGTTGGAAATTAATAAAGAGAGATAGACACTAATTTTAGGGCTGAGCCCCCATTTTGACCCAAGTCCCACTTAATGAGCCAAGAAATGGGCAGAGAGACCAAAGGGCCCCCAGATGAGTGTAAAAGTAGAGGGAACCAGGACTGCAGAAGACATTGTGACAGTGCACTAATGTTTGAGCCCCACACTTCTTCTGGGCAAACAGGGCATACTCCCCCTTTCCCTTCAAGATAGAATGACCTTGTGACGTGCTTTGGCCAATACATTGTTACTGGGAGTGCCATGGGTCATATGCAGCATCTAATTGCTGGTGCTCAACTTTGCAGCCTGCTTCTTCCCTGACTGGTCTGGAAGGCTGAGCCAACATGTGGAAGACAGACTTCATAGAGAATATTCTGGACTTGGAATGGATTTTATGTGAGTAAGGAATGAAATTTTGTTGATCTTTGGAGGGTGTTATTACTATACCATAACCTGCCTTATCCTGAGTAGGGTAAGTGTTCTGTTTCGCATCTGGATGGCCGGGAGAGAAATCACAAAGATTCTCACGCCATCCTGCATGGGGGCAGTGAAGTATAGAAGACTGCATGGGGTGTCAGAGGTAGAGAGGGCTTGATGACAGGTCCTAATTGTCCCATTGCTCTGGGGAGATGTAGGGCAGCGACTGAATCTTCCTCATGTCTGGAATAAAGATGTGTGCCTTAGCAGAGACAAAAATCTGGGTATCCAACGTCTCAAGGTCTTGACAAGGAGGTGTAACTGGAGGGGTGGCATGGGCCATGCAGTCTGAGACCAAAAGCCTATTTGGAGGGTGGCAACATGAAGAGCCATGTGCTACGAGTGTATATATCAATGGATGTCAACTCTGCATAACCATTGGAGACACTGACTCATAGATATTACATTACTGTGTCAACACTTGAGTTCCAATCAACCCCAGAGAGAAAAGAGAACAGAGGAAATCCATAATTTGATTGAGTATAATACAGATAGAGCTAAGAAATTCCTGAAGTGGTTGAGCTTACTTAGAAGTGACCAGATTCAATTTTCTATCAGGAAGCCTGAAGGGCTTGTGATAGACATGATTTAACTTATAAAGAAAAAGCTGTAATATTTGCAGATCTGAGCCTGTGGCTATGAAAACCAGGTACACCTCATATTTTTGTGAGAGGGCCAAACTGAACAAAATTTTCAAAGCATGGGATTGAATGATTTTATAGAAAAACACAAAGACATGCTATTTACAGCTTGGTTGTGGTTGTTGATAAGGAACTGTTGTATTCCCTTACCTAATTAGAACCCTGTGGGGCCTCTTGAGAACCTGGACCATCAGATGCTGGGCTGTACCTATCCAGCTGCTCCTATGTGGTCAGCCTCTGTGCCTCAGGCACTTAGACCCTGGCTTACTGTGGTGAATGGGTCTCTGGCCAGGTGTTGGCTTCCTCACAGATGAAATCTGATAAAAGATCAGTTTACTTTGCCAAATGTTCAGGCTGCCCAAAGCCTGTTGGGATTCAGTGGCCCGTAACACTGGGTACTAACGTTGGGTGTATCAGATTCTTTTGTTGGTTAGTTGATGTAGAGACCTTCCAAAAAAAAGTTTAAAAAACCTACACAGGAGATTGAGATACCCACAAAGGTACAGAACAATGCTACCATTCATATCATGCTACCCATCTGAAAGCACTCATAGGAAAAAGAAAATTAAGTTGCAAATGCTCTTAAGTTAACTCATTAAGATAATCTTTCAAAAGCCAAGAATGTGGCAAAAAAGAAAAATAGCATGCCTGGAGTGATGTAAAAAAATCTCAGAAGGGGTTGAAATATGAGCACTGTTTTGTAAACGTATTATTATAGGACCTTCAGTAAACCTACTTAAAAACTACATGAGGACTATTTATGTACATAGATGAGAAAACTGAGATGCAGAGGATAACTTCTTCAGGATTATGTAACCAGTAGAACTGGTTACAGAAATAATAGAGCTGTTTTTTGTTTTGTTTTGAACCATCAAACCTTGGCTCTTTCTGTTATCAGATGGAAGGGAAAAAAAGATAACCTCAGTTCCTCGTCACCCCAAAAAAGAATTTTTAACAAGAGACAGAAAGTGTGATATATACAGAAGATTTTATTAGTAAAGTAAAAGTGTTGTGAAATACAGTACACTGGCGAGAATTCAGGGCGGACCAACCTAAGAGAGGAAAAATGGTGCCACTCCTTTGTTTCTCCTGACAATTTACTGTCTTCCTGTATAGACTCCAGATCATCATGTTTGGTAGCTTAGAGACCATCCTCATTCTCATGGGTGCTCCTGAGAGGTGAGATTGCTTTAGGTAGACTGGTGCTAATATTACCGAACTTTTCATTCAATTTTTCTTGGATGGACTGTGGTGTGGGGAAGCAGTTTTGGATGCTGAATTCGAGAAACAAAATCCCCATTTAGGTTTGCTTAAGTCAGTGTTTCTCGGCCTTGGCTGTGGTTAGATTCACCTGAGAAGCTTTTAAACCCTACTGATACCTGGGAAGCACTTCAGTCCAATTAAATTATAGTCCCTGCAGGTAGAGCCTGCGCGACTCTAATGTGTGAGAACCACTGGCTTAAGTGAACATTTTAACACACTGAAAATCAGATTCTATGAAGGACCAAAAATGGCAAAATATGCTTCTTTCTTATGAGTGAGTTGTATTCCATTACATATATATATGCTGCATCTTCATTGTCTATTCAACTATTGACGTGCACTTAGGATGCTTCCGTATCTTGGCAATTATAAATAATGTTGCTGTTAATAGCAGGATGTATGTATCTTTTTGAGTTGATTCTTATTTTGTGGTTGGCTTTATTCCTTTGGTAACTATGTAAGTTTAAAAAGCTAAAGCTCTAAACATTCTTAAAACAATGAACAGTACATATATGTAAATTTTAAAATATATGTGCAGTAAAAATTAAAAAAAAAACAAATGAGCTATTAAGCCATGAAAGACATGGAAGAAACTTAAAAGACATATTACTAAATGAAAGAAGCCAATCTGAAAAGGCTACAAAGTGTGCAATTCCAACCAAATGACATTCTGGAAAAGGCACAGCTACAGAAACAATAAAAAGATCGTGGTTTCCAGGGGTTTGGGGGGAGAGAGGAAGGGAGGAATGAATAGATGGAACACAAGGGATTTTTAGGGCAATGAAATTATTCTGTATGATACTATAGTGGTGGCTACATGTCGTTATGCATTTGTCAAAACCCATAGAATGTACAACATCAAGAGTGAACCCTAATGTAAACTATGGACTTTGGTTGATAATAATGTTCCCATGTTGGTTCATCGATTGTACCAAATATGCCACACTGATGAGGGATGTTGAGGGTAGGGGAGTATGTATTTGGGGATGGGGAGGGCTACTTGCGAACTCTCTGTATTTTCTGCTCAATTCTGCTGTGAACCTGAAACTGCTCTAAAAAATTGTCTATTTAAAAAAAAGAAAATCAGATTCTAGCAGGATAAAGCAATTAGCACAGGTGCTAAGTCAACCTGCTAAGCAACCTGTGGTATCAAAACAAGTAATCATCTGTAGGAGGTAAAGAAAAGAACTCTAATCAGTCATTAGGAAGGACCACTGGGATCCATACCTCGGGATGTTATTCCAGAACTTGAGAAATGAATGAGCTCTCAGTTTCAGTATTGGCATTGAAATCTCTTATTAGTTCAGATTTTAAAAATGAAAAGAGGGAAGATAAATGAGGAAGCTCTGTGGGGACTGATGCTTTGGAATTTTCCCATGCTTTCATATCAGTGAAGCACAGTATTTGATGAGGAATGACATGTCTGCATATTAATGGAATTGTGATCAGTGCTGGGTACGCACTGAAGCCCGTTCTTGCCTAAGAGTAATTTACATTCTATCAGGAAAGACTGGACATGTGTCAGGAGTCACCTTAAGGTAATGTGACAGAAATCTCTAAATATATTGAAAACCTAACTCCTCATTTAAAGTCTTATCTTGTGGTTTAAAGGGTGTTACAGTTAATCACAGAAGGATATCTGAAATGTTCAATGAGTGTTACACACCACAAATCATATCATATGATTGTGAAAAAAATTAGGCATCATCACCTGTTTCCCTTATCTGTGCTTCCGTTGAATACCAATTTATGTCAGTTTACCTTTGTTTAAAATTGTATGGTCTAGATGAGTTACATTATGTTAGTTTCAAGTGTACCATTTAGTGATTTGACATTTTTATAGACTGTGGCCCATTTAAAGTTATAAGATATTGGTTATTTACCTTTTCAGTAAGACTCAGTTCATCCTCTTCTCCTTATCTTCAGTGTCTTCAGTTTAGGCATTTCTTTCTTGGACCACAGGCAGAGACTTGTACCTGCTTCTAGAGTTTTTGAATTCTAGTCACTCTCAGGCTAGAGAAGCCATGAGAGGGCTCCTACTGTCTGCAGGAGAAGGGTTAGGAATCCAAAGTGTGGCATGCAGCCTTACGACTCCAAGACTAGCTGCATTCGCCTCATTGGGCAGCTTGTTAGAAATGCAGAATCTCCAAGGTTTCACTTCATACTTCTTGAACCAGAACCTGCATCTGAACAAAATCCCACGATTATTGGTACTTACAGTAAAGTTTGGGAAGCACTTGTGTATCAGAGGTCTTGCGATCTGGCTTCAGCCTACTTCTCTTCCTTTCTCCTTCTGGCCATTGTGTGTTCCTGAAATACCAAACAGGCCTCACGGGGACCATCCTTCTCAACACTGTCCTCTTGGCAGATGCCAGCTGTGCTGTAAAGATCTCTCTCTGGAGCAATTTCCTTTGTTCCCTGTCTCTTTCTAGACAATCATTCCAGCCCTCCCCTGATGACGCTCATTGCATATGGAAAACTCTAGTGTTGAAATTTCTTCTTTACCTGTTGCTTTCACCCACCGGACTGTAAGTGCCTGCAAGGCAGGGATTATGTGTTTCTCATCTCAGTGTCTTGGTTTGTAGTACAGGGCAGGGCGCCAGGCACTCAGTTAGCATTTCAGATTTCTTGCTCAGAGTTTAGTCTGATCAAAGCCTTTACCTGCAGATATAATTCTGGTTCCGATCCTGGGATGGTTATGTCTGAAGAAGATGATGTTAAGCTATCCCAGTCCTCGTAAGTTGAAGTTTTGTATAAATTTTCTTCAGTAAAAACCAGTGGGTATCCATATTTTTCCTGTGTGATAACTTTCCTCTTGATCCCCAGTGCCTTGATTTTGGCCCAGCCTTCTGAGTTGGGCTCTGAGGTTGTATCTTAGTTTTATAACTTGGCTTTGTAGCATAGCTCCAACATCAACGGGAGAGCGGGGAATGGCTGGTCAAGTGTCATCTGTCCTCACAGCCTTCAGGGCTGGCAGCCCTCTGCTCTTTCCTTGCTGCCCTTAGACCCTGGAGT